AAGAGAGAGATGATACTCCTATAAAAAATCCATAACCTACTCTATTTACATGGATGCTTTATTATTGTTTAATAACAGTCTTTAGACAATGCCTTGACAGGACTGAGTGTGGGAGAGAGAGAGAGAGGGGATGGGTGTGGGAGAGAGGAGAGTGGGAGAGGAGAGAGAGGAGGGGGAGGGAAAGAGGACGGGAGGGGGTGGGTGCGAGAGGGTCAGACCAAAGCGGGCAGATTGTCGGGATCTGGCCATGTCTAGCAGCCTGCACCAAACAAAGGAAATATGCCCGAGAATGTGCCGCTGTTTATGGTACCACCGCTCCTCAGGCGGACAGCGCCCGAGCAAACGGACTCGCACCGACCGTCCCGCTGTACGCGGTTATTCTAAAGTTATTATTGGCTTTCCGCTGACGCAGTTTTAGGCGAAACGGGGCAGCAGGCCGGCAACAAAGCACGGGACTGGGCCGGTGTTACGCCCTGGCACCCAGCTCTGGTCTGCGCTGAGGCTGCGTCGCTCACGTACGAGTCGCTGAATCGTTCCAAACCATGATCCATTATCTGGCTATTTTATTGTCTCCTTGATGAAAGCAAGCATATGCCGCGCTTTTAAAACACACTGGTGTTGTGGGTCACGCTCCGTTCCGTCGCAGCCGCGGGCAGCGTTACGGCCATTGGGTTCTCTTTGTTTGAAAAGCCATGCTTTCCTGCTTCCCAGAATGAACTATCACACTCTTGTGCGCCCTATTGTCCGCCGAGGATGAAGCGTCCTCCATTTAAAGGAAACCAGAGCCACACACCACAAGCACACACACAGCACACACACAACACACACACCAACCAGCTATGGTGGATGCTGCGGAGGAGCATGGAGTTGACACAAGGCAGTGCAGGCAGTTATTGACTGTGTTTGGGTAGACGGGCTCTTCATGCACATCCTGCATACCTGCTGCTTCTGGGATTATGTGTTCTGTGGTGGTGTTGATTGTTTTTTGTTTCATAACCCAGATAAACACATAATGAGTCGTTATTAATC